ACCCCAAGTATGCTAATACAGCAGTAAAAAAAGATAATAGTGCCAAAGAGCCAGAAACCTTTGAAGAAGTGATCCAACACAAAGAGTGTAGAAAGGCAATGGAAGAAGAGTTCATGGCTCTAAGGTAAAATGAGACTTGGGATTTGATGCTAAGGCCTAATGGAATAAAGCCTATATCCTACAAATGGGTCTACAAAGTAAAGAAATGTTCAGATGAATCAATTGAAAGATACAAAGCTCAGCTAGTAGCTCGTGAATTTTCTCAGCAATGTGGTCTAAACTATGATGAGATATTTAGTCCAGCGGCAAAGATTACAACAGTAAGAGTACTTATAGCTCTAGTTGCAAGCAAGTCCTAGAAGTTGTGACAGATGGATGTGAAAAATGCATTTCTCCATGGAGAACTTGATCGAGTAATATACATGGAGTAACCAAAGGGATTCGAAAGTAAAGGAAAACCAGGATATGTTTGCAAGATAAAGCAAGCTTTTTATGGGTTGAAGCAGGCACTATGAGAATGGTATGTAAGATAGTTGAATTCTTAGTTCAAAGTGGATACTCGATAACACCAGCAGACTCGAGTCTATTTGTTAAAGCACAAAGAGGAAAATTAACAATAGTGCTAGTATATGTGGATGATTTTATCATCTCTAGAGACGATGAAGATGAAACCCAACGGACCAGAAAGAATCTATCAGTAAGATTCCAAATGAAAGAGGTTGGAGAACTAAATCATTTTCTGGGACTCGAGATGGAAAAAATGAAAGAAGATTATTCTTGTGTCAACACAAATATAGCAAAGATCTCTTACAAAAGTTTGGAATGATCGACTACAAACCAATATCGACACCAATTGAAATTAACTCCAAGCTATGTGTAGTTGAAGGCAAGGACTTGGAGAATATAACCATGTATCAATAGTCGGTAGGAAGCTTAATCTATTTGATGCTAACATGACTTGATATTACATATGTAGTAGGATAGCAAGTAGCTTTATGGAAATGCCAAAGAAGCCACACCTTGAAGTAATGCGACGGATCCTAAGGTAAGTAAAATGAACAATTGATTATGGACTACTTTATATGAAAAATAAAGATAGCAAGGTCATTGGCTATTGTGATGCGGACTATGTTGGATGTCGAGATACAAGAAGATCAACAACTGGGACGTGTTTAATCTTGGGTAAGCTGTAGTATTATGGTGCAGTAAGAGATAACTAACCGTGTTCTTGTCAACCGCAGAGCCTAAATATAGAATAGTAGTAATGGCAGCTCAAGAAAGCACATGGCTAATATAGTTGATGAAGGATGTACATCAACCAGCAAGCTATGCAGTACATTATATTGCGATAATCAATTAGCTATTCGTATAGCAGGAAATCCAGTATGCCATGCAAGAACTAAGCACGTTGAAGTACACTACCATTTCATTAGAGAAAAGGTGCTCAAGGGGGAGATAAACTTGAAACATGTTAACACTAAAGAACAAGTTGCAGATACGTTAATGAAAGGACTCAATACTTCAAAATTTGAAGAGTTTCGAGCTCAACTGGAATTATAAAAAGAAAAGAAAAGAAAAGTCGGTGCTGAAGGGGAGGATTGAAGAAATCATCATCGACTTTGGCATGAGTTTTCCAGATTCATCTAGGATTTTACCAACTTTATTATCCCTTCTCAACCATAGAAAAATCTAGAGAATACATTGAAGACATTGTCCATCACCATTCTAGATCTCTCTAGAAAAATAGCTTATAATCAATCAATGGAATTATCTAGAATCATCATCTTTTATGTAGAAGATTTGTCACCACCAACTTCCACCCTATAAATAGGGGATGGTGCATAGTGAAGCTATATAGTGTTTAGTGATGGGTGATTCCATATAATTAAAGTGTGTCCAAAAGTGTGTAAAACATATTTCATAAATAAAATAATATCTCTCTTTAAGTCTTAAATACAACACTATTAACAACATTAATTGGAGGTCGACCCTGAATGCTTAACAAGGCGGACAAAGATGCTTACCCAATAGGGGCAAATAGACAAGGCCTAGAACTTTCTTAGGGGTCATCAAGAACATCTTACACTCAATGTCGTTACAATACTCCTCGACAAGGTGCAATCTGTCACTTCAATTTTTATAAGTATAGGATTGAAAAGTGGTACAATCATATTACCTCATGTGATGTCGGAGACCTACTAGAGGTGAAAATGCCCAGATTACTTGGATATTGGGAGTGGACGTAGAAGCTTGAGATCTATTAAGGATCTACATAGGTAGAAGCGAGAAATAACTTAAAAGGCAGCCAAGAAAGCTAAAGTTATGGCTAAAAGCTGCCAAATTGAAGCAAATCGAAGTTGAGGTAAAGTTGAACTCTACAACCGTTGAAATAGATCATTTGAGGGAAGAAGTCTACAAATCTCAATGTGAGTAGAGGCCTCCAACAATTATCAAAAGATAGTAGGCCAATGCTTTGGAAATGACCAATAAAGAAAAAGGAGAGCTGAGGTTGAAGTGGGAGGTTCAAGAGAGGAGGTCGAATACTTGAGGCTTCAACTGCAAACACTGGGAAAGACGCTGTAAAGAATCATATCTATAACTTTCATTTAATATAAGACTATAACTACTTCAATAGTTACTAGAGGAACTATGCTTATAAGAAATTGTTGAACCATACTCAAGAACTCCTTTTTAGTTTGGACACTGGTCCCTTAAGCATGAAGTTCATTGGCATTGATGCGCCTTCCACCCCAATGAAGGTGAGGAAGACGCAATTGACCCTCAGAAGATATCGTACAAAAGATTTTTTGGATGAAGCAGTACTATAGAAGACGCCTTGTGGAACAAAGGCTTGTCGCTTCGAAAATATACTGCAGTAGTTTGTAACACATCGCTTCAGACATGGGAGTTCGACTTCTACATATCTCTTCGGTTGAGGTGCTTAGTTCACTTTGACTTCCTTTCTTTGATGGAATCGGTTAGGTTAGGTAAGGAAATGATGTGTAGTGTGAGCCTTAGGTAACTTCTTGTTATTTCCTAGATGGCTATCACATGGCCAACCTTGTACACGAGGCATAACAATATTCATAAAATTTTCTCCAAAATATGTTACTAGTATATCAAGTGTTATCCTCAAGCCACTCTTTTGCAGTGGTTGTTTTCTTACTTTTCAGGGACATTTGGTTATTGGAGATGAAGAAAGACGATGATCCCTTTGCTATTTCTTCATTCTTGAGTTACATTTTATTTTTATTTTTTTGTTTCTCTTTTTAATTTTTCTTTTCTTTGCTTTTGTCTTTTCTTTTTCATTTATTTAAAGAGAGGGGCGATTTTATCTTTTTATTTTTTATTAACAGTTGAAATGGATGAATTCTGTTGTTAGGGATCTTCCATGCCCATTTCCTCAAACGTTGGGATGTTTACTGCCATTTTATAAGGTTCGGAGTATTTCCCATACAATTTAATAAATGAAAAGATAGAGTCGTATTAATTAAGTAGATTTCATAGAATTTACTTTAAGATAAAGATAAATATTATGTAACACTATTGGTGTGAAGTAGTCATAAATAACGACGAGGTTCATTGCATCGTTATCCGAATTATGAAACAATACGATTCCAAGGAATTTATTTAACAATAAGGTTCACCTCACTATAACCTACACTTAGCAACAGCACCAATAATGGTGCGTGACATTATCCTAAAATAAACTTTATTTGGCCCTACTTTCCTTTTTCCTTTGGTCATACTTCATTTTTTAATTATACAGAACATAATATGGATTCCAAATTTATTAGAATTAAAAAGAAATGAATCCACAACATCGCAATCATGCTGCCCAGCACGTGAAATTGGCCCTTGTGACACCCATAATTAAAATGATAAATTGCAATGGCTTTCCTCAATCTATACTTCTATTTTTAACACTTTTGCTCTTAATCTATTTTCCTATTCATTAAGCTCCTCAATCTTTTTTTTTAGTAGGCACGTCTCTGTGCAAAAATACTATTAATTTAATGTAAAAATTCAATTTCGCTCTTAGCTTAAATACATAAAATAGATTATACATCATTAGTTGTAACCATTAAGTGATACTGAATATCTGATTCATAGTTCGATGTATTAAAATACATTACAACTCCATTAAACAATAAATCAATGAAATAATACTGCTTAAATGGATGATGATCACCACTACTAATGAATAACTTTACTCAAAATAATAAATAAAATTTAAAATAATATTAAAGATTTCCTCTAAAATACAACCAGTACCACTCTCATCGCCAATTCTCAATCCCTTCTTCCAACCAATATGTCATGAAACCTTACATATGGAAAGCAAAATGGGATTCTGCATTCTATTGAGAATTTTTATGCCCTATCCATATACCTGTCCTAGTCTCTGCTTTTGGTAAGCTAGGGGGAGGTGGTAAGGAACCCATTCCCTACCCGTTACCCACTTTATAACTTAAAAATATAAACATCTACTTTTCTTAGAACTTTTTAATAAAGCATGTATGACAATCCGAACTTAAAGAAATGCATAACAAACTGAAGATAGTGTAAATCTACAAAAATAAAAAAATTGCAAGAAGTACACAAAATAGTGATACAAAAAGTGTATATATCAAAGAATTTTATTTATTTCAAATCACTGGTATTCGATAGGAATGATTGATTTTTAATTACCTCAAATCACGGGTCTTTGATTGGATTGACGGATGAGAGGAAAATTAGGGGAGGGTCGAGAGTTGTGGCTTCTAGATGAGATGTCGAGAGATAAGGGGAAGGCGAAGATTTGTTGATGTGAAAATTGTGAAGAAAGAATGATGATGCAAATTAGTCAGGGATTGTAGGTGCAATTATTATAATTAATACCCTATCTTACCGAACCCAGGGTGGCATATGAATATACCCTCTCTCTCTCTTTCTCTCTCTCACACACACACACACACACAGAGTCCACATCAGAATGAAATGATAGCCGTTATATTAAATCTCTCTCTAAAAATTTCTAGCCAATTTCTACTCTCTCTCTCTCTCGCCGTCTCTTTCGTGGACTCGTATTGGCAGTAGTTGCAGTCAATCTCAAAGCCTGTAAAGAACCTTCTAATTTCCTAATTATTATCGATCCAAACCCTGTAATTCCATGAGCGACTCCCAGTCTTCTTCTTCTTCCTCCTCCTCCTACGACTCGGCCTCGCTTGGGCTCCCACCGCCGGTACATTTACGTGTATTTGTTTGCGGGTTCTGAATTGATTATGATTTAGTGAAATTTTTGTCACAGTTAGACTTGTGACTGGTTAATTACTCGAATTCAATCGCCACTGTTGGTTTGTGTTTGATTTGTGGAAAACAAGTGTGATTGTGTATGCTTATTTGAAGTACACGAGTTTTTGAGAAAAAAAGTAGTTATTTGATCTTTGATCTATTATTTGGCTGTCCAGGATTGGCGTTTGAGATTGAGACAAAAAGTTGTGCACATGAAAAAATTAGTTGTTTCGTAGTAAAAGTACTTGTAAGGGGAAACTATTGTTTTAAAGATTTTTTCTTTTCATGTTGTTTGTTTTATCTTGTTCCACAGATAAATATGAGAAGCGTTTTCATTTATTTTTTATTTTTATGTTTTATTTATTTTTTAATATTAACATTTATGTAAATGTATTAAAAGTTGTGAATTTCTTCTTGGAGTAAAGGGAATTCTTTACTAACTTGCTCTATAGGCTTGATTTAAAGTTCACTTCCTCAAACTTCACTTTTTCTCCCTAGGATTTTAGTTTTCTTACCAGCATTTTTGATTTATTGATTAGTTTGGTAATCCTTTCATTTCCTTTTGTTCTTGCTCTTGAGGTATTAATTTGCACTTCAACTGTGTTCAAATTTTGATATATGCAGAGGCAAAGATATTGGAAAAAGGAGAAAAGCAAAGTTTGTGGCATGAAACAAAAATATAAAAATTTTATCTTGCAAGTTACAAACTTTTATGCATATATAAATTTTCTTTTGAGAAGAGAGAGAGGAAAAAACTAGGCTGTGTATATGTGTTGAAATTTTTTTTGATATTTATATGCTGGATGCAGAATGTTGATGGGAATCATAGACCTTCAGATGACAGTCGTTCATTGTCTCAGGGACTCAATCCAACAGTTTCACGTCATTGGCGGGACGTGTTTTGGTTGTTGATATTCATGGTACATTTGACTGTGGTAGGTTTGGCTTTAGGGGTTCTTGGGCTCAATAGGTTTAAGACAAAGGATAGGCTGAACATTGATAGGTACACAATGGGTTTCCTAGAGAATAAAGATGGTCTAACTGAGGATTACTGGCGGTTTTATGCTGTTGCTGGTGGAGTTGGAACAGTTCTTGGGTGGATTTGGTTGTTATTGCTCAGTTCACGTGCAACTCAGATAATGAAATTCTCAGTGCACATCTTGACTACTTATCTTGCTGTTATTAGTGTGCTGTGTTTTTGGTGTAAGCAGTTCTTCTGGGGTGTCGCATTTGCCATTGGTGCTTCATTGCAGTTCTTGTATGTTATATCAGTCATAGACAGGTAAAAATTGTGACTGATTGGTATATATAATATTGAGTTGAAGTTCTTGTCATGCTTTATTTTGAGACTGGTTGCAATGATTTCTTTAAATAGAATATATGAGAACAGAAACCTGTTGTAAAATGATACTATTGATGGAAGTTTTTGAGTAACACATCAGTAGAATTACAATGTGCATGAATTTTTTTTGTTTCCGAACTCATTTACAAAGTTCAGCAAAGTTCGGTAATTCATCAATATGTGCAAAGAAATCTGAATACTATAATTTGATTGTTCTTGTTAAGGTTTCTTTCTTATTGCCTGGAGAATTAATGGTTGATCTTCATGTTATTGGTCTGGTCCTTCATGCTATTCTTTAGTTTTAACTAATTTCAAACATTCGAACAATATTTGCTGCATAATAAGGTTGCAACTTAGATTCCATGTTTTTCTTAATATTGTTAATTTACTCGTAGTTTGTCTTACTTTATAGAATTTAAAGCCAGACACATGCTAAAAAATTTAGAGTGTGATTGCTATAGAATCCTCTAGTTATATCATAACACTTCCAGGATGGAATTAATTGAAAACTGAAGAATTGGCCCAAAATCTTTTTTGCTTTTAACTGAACAGAAATGACACTTTCTTATTTAAGTATGAATATTTGTTGCTGCCCTAGAATATCTGAATCTGTATGTCAAACAATGCATCTTCTGATATTATTAAAGTTTCTTAGATTGGTTTACAAGTCATGATTATTAGAAGTCATTCTGGACTGTGATATTTATGTGTTGTGTAGTTTGTTGAAGCAAGGATCATCTGGCCAGTTTATTGCTTGTAAGCTTCACATTACCTCAAAAAACTTTGAAAGAATGATTTGATATCGTTTTCAAGTACCAGTCTGTTCAATTAATTTATATATTTATTATTACTTGATTAATTTTTAATTTCTAGTTTAGTAGAGGATACAAACTAGCAAAATTTTTGTATATTGACACTTCTTATATGTAATGAATTTAATATAGATAAGATTCTATCAGGACTATTGACATTATCCAATGACTATTAAAGGTCGAACCAAATTAATCATCCGTGAAAGAGTCATCCCATGCACATATGGCTTATCCAAACTAATCTCTTCTTTGAACCAAATGTGGATCCTCCCTCCTACTCTCCTCTCTCTCAAGTGGTGGTAGTTTTTGCATATTTAGGAATAATCCAAAATCAGAAAATAAAAACTAGGATAAACAAGCTACAATAAGATGTCTGTTTTTCTTTCACAAAATTTGAATTGCTTGGTTTGGATGTTGAACCATTCTGAAGTTGGGTTTTCAAGAGAGAAACCTAATCTTGAAAGAATCGATCTTGCAGATCTTAATTTTGAAACAAAAATTTAATGAATTATATGTATGACTCTGGATCCATGTGATAGATAGTTGAACAGTCTATTAAACTTCTGATTGTGTTGCTCTGAAATTGAATTTTAAAAGTTTTTCATGGATTTCTCCCGTGAATTTATCTTCTAATATATATGCACGTTTTCAGTTTTATATGGTTTTCTTTGTCTTCCAGTAGACTTCCATTTACAATGCTGGTACTACAAAGAGCAGTGAAGATGGTGTGGAACATTCCTGAGGTCTTGCAAGTAGCATGCATATTCATGCTATTCATGCTTTTATGGCTTGCACTTTGGTCCTTCGGTTCTGCTGGTGTTGTTGCTTTAAGTATTGGTGACAGTGGACGTTGGTGGCTTCTTGTGGTGAGCTGGCAAGTTTTTGCTTTTCATTTCATCTTCTTTTGGCATAATTGCAACATATATTTCTATTAAACCAATCATCTGGCAACACCAAAAACTGTTCTTACTTCTATGTCAGGTTTTGTCTGTGAGTTTGTTTTGGACTGGTGCTGTTCTCTGTAATGTTGTCCATGTTATAGTTTCTGGAATGGTGTTTCTTGTCCTATTCCATGGTGGTCAAGAAGCAACATCAATGCCTCCTAAACCTCTGATGAATTCTTTGCGCTATGCTTTCACCACTTCTTTTGGAAGCATATGCTATGGATCACTCTTTACAGCTGCTATACGAACATTGAGGTGGGAGGTAGGCAATCCAATGTTGTTTGATTTGATTTGAGTACTAATACTTATTCACTGGAGAGTGATGACATCATGCCCACATGATTCACTGCACGAGTCGCAGCTATTATAACTAACAACGGGATTGAATGCGTTTTACAGATTAGGGGATTGAGGTCAAAGATTGGCAAAAATGAGTGTTTGCTCTGTTGTGTTGATTTTCTATTTCATCTGGTAGAGTTTCTAGTTCGTTGGTTCAACAAGTATGCTTATGTCCAGGTACTTGTTCAATTTATATTCTGGAAGTTTTTCTCCTTAAATATTCCATGCCACTGTGACATTTATGAGACAACATACTTACATATGGAACTACATGCTTGGACTTCGTTTGGGAATTAATATGTCAATGAGATTGTTGAAGATTGTGTCTATATTATTATTATAATTGTACTAAATATAGATAGATTGTTTTACCATATTTAGTTTTGATTTGGTTCTATATAAAGAAAGAACCTCTCATATTGAGAGGCATCGAGTCTTATTGAGTATGTTTGACATGGTATCACAACAGGTTTAATTTTATTTAGGTTAAACTTGCAAGCTTCTATTGGCGCTTGTCCAGTCAAATTTTCGTGTTTTTGTTTTCTCTGTTGATGCTAGTTCTTGCTCGCGTAAACAGCTGCAGATAGCTGCTTGAACGCTTTCCATCAGCTTCATCTCTCTTCCTGAAAACCCCTCAGTTTTTGCTGCAGATTCCTTGAGAATGTCACCGTTTATACTCACGATCTCAGTCTTCTTTTGATCTTTCTGAAAACAAAGGAGAGAAAGAGAGAGTGAGAACAAGCCCGGTTTTCTTGCCCCATCTCGAGCTATATACTTGTCCAGATATAGTTTCAGTAATATGAAGCATCTGACTTTGCCAGGTAGAGGGAATTCCAGGACCTCATCAATACAGTTTGCCATGACTGAATCAAGATCACCTAGGTGATTTGTTGCTCTTGAATGAGAGAGTATATTGTAAAAAATAATTCTCATTAATTCATCTCATAGGTACATAGTAATATTTATATTTACAGCAGAAAAAACAAAAAAAAGAACGAATAAAGTAAGAAAGAAAAATTAAATGCTAATTTTAAGGAAACTAAATCTCCTAGAACATGGCAGATTTGGAAGCTTTCCAACACTCTCCTCAAGTTGGTTTAAAGATATCTTCTATGGCCAACTTGCTGATTAAGCTTTCAAACTGTTTCTTTGGCAGACCTTTTGTAAGTATGTCTACTTATTGCTTGGCTATAGAAATATAGGGCATAAAAATTACTGTACTATCTATTTTCTCCTTGATAAAGTGCTTGTCCACCTTCACATGTTTTGTTTTGTCATGATGAACTGGATTGTGAGCAATAACTATTGCTGCCTTATTATCACAATACAATTTCATTGTTATTGAATTAGTAACTTTCAACTCTTCTGGTAATTTTTTAATCTATAGTACTTCACAAATTCCATGAGCAATAGCTCTGAACTCAGTCTCAGCACTAGTCCTTGCCACACTTTGTTTCTTGCTGTGCCATGTTACTAAATTTCCTCCAACAAATGTACAGTAACCAGATGTTGATCTTCTATTAGTGACACTTCTAGCCCAATCTGCACCAGTGTATATTTCAACTTGTAAATTCTCATAACCTCTAAACAGTAGGCCTTTACCTGGAGTCCTCTTTAGGTACCTTAAAATCTTGTAAACAACATCAAAATGTTCAGGTCCTGGTGAGTGCATAAACTGGCTTACTACATTTGTTGCAAAAGCTATATCAGGCCGTGTATGAGAGAGACATATAGGAGTTTCGCTACTAATCTTTGGTATTGTTCTCTATTGATTACTTCTTCTAGGTTAGCTGGTTGTAGTCTTATATTCGGCTCTATGGGTGTCTCTGCAGCTTTACACCCTAATAAACCTATTTCTCCAAGTAAATCAAGAATATATTTTTGTCGAGAAACAAATATACCATTCTTTGACCTTGCAAACTCCATACCAAAAAAGTAATCTTTGATTTCAAACTTCTTAGCAAGAATCTTCTTTAATCTCTCAATTTCATTGCTATCATCGCCTGTCAGAATAATATCATCAACATAAACAATAAGTATAGCTAATTTGTCTCTGACAGTGTGTCTATAGAACATAGTGTGGTCAGCTTGCCCTTGATTGTAGCCGTGACTCTTTATCGCCCTTCCAAAGTGTTCAAACCAAGCTCTCGGAGATTGCTTGAATCCATACAAAGACTTCCTCAATCTGCACACCTTCCCTTTGCCTCCTTTGTTTTCAAATCCCTATGGTAGATCCATAAAACTTCCTTATCTAGGTCTCCATTTAAAAGACATTCTTCACATCTAATTGATACAAAGGCTAGTTGAAATGGACTGCTAGAGAAAGTAACGCACGGAATTCATCTTGGCTGCAGGAGCAAAGATTTCCTGGTAGTCCATTCCGTATGTTTGAGTGAACCCCTTTGCCACAAGTCTTGCTTTGTACCTATCTACACTACCATCAGCCTCGCATTTGATTGTAAACAGCCATTTACATCCAACAATTTTCTTCCCCTTTGGTAGATCACCAATTACCTAAGTACCATTAGCAATTAGTGCATTCATCTCTTCTTGAACAGCCAATATCCACTCCGGGTGATCCAGGGCTTCCTAAATGATTCTTAGAATAAACAAATGAGAAATATAGGATGTAAAAGCCTTATGAGCATCAGAGAGTCTATGATATGATAAATATTTTGCAATAGGACGTGTGGTGCAGGTTCTAACTCCTTTCCTAAGGGCTATAGGTAGATCTAGATTAGCAAAATTGTCAACAAAAGGAATAGAAATGGAAGAGTTACCTTGTGCACTGGAAAGACCAACTTGTGGAGGTGATGATGAATGGCGTTGCTCCAAATTGGAAGAAGGATTTCTATTATTTTGATGATCTCTTTTTCTAGTATAAACACGAAGTTCAAATGAGGTAATACGTGGTAGTATTTCTTTCCCTGGTGGAGAATCACTTATGTCTTGTATAAGTGGACTCAAGTTTTCATTATTTTCACTAGATAAATTTTCCTTTTCCCGACTCTTTAAAAGAGTATGGATGTTCGGGTGAATGTCAGGGAAAACCCTAGGAAGATGACTAAGATTAGAAACATTAGGAAGAAGATTAAGATCATAAATTTGCCAGGACCCCTCTTCACTTTTTTCTTTCTCCCCCTGAAGATAGTCATGGTTAAAGTAAGGTTGTTTTTCAAGGAAAGACGCATCCAAACAAATGTGAATTTTCTTTGTAATATGATTGAAACTTTTGTACCTTTCTTATTATGAGCATATCCAAGAAAAACACATTTTTTTACCCTAAGGTCAAGTTTGGACTGAAGATGGGTTGATATATGAATAAAAATAGTACATCCAAAAACCCTTAGTTGTAAATCCGATGTTATTCACCAAGTAGGAAAAATATTCTTTAGACAGGCTAACGGAGTGATGTATTTTAAAATATGAATAGGCATTCTACTAATAAAGTAACAAGCAGTCAAAATAGCATCACACCATGAGTATTTAGGAACATGCATAAAAAATATTAGGGCTCGTGCAATCTCTAAAAAATGACGATTTTTTTCTCGCGACAATACCATTTTGTTGCGGGGTGTCATGATACGTAGACTGGTTTTGAATGCCTTTTGCTAATAAAAAAGTTCTCAAACATTTATTAAAATATTGAGGAACTGATTTGTGTTTGGAACTGATTTTCTATCATGTGATAAAAATCTTTGAAAAATTTTCAACATTAGATTTATCACTCATCAGATACACCCAACACAACCGTATATGATCGTTAATAAATGTTACAAACCATTTTTTTTCCAGATGCAGTAATGATATTTGAGGGAACCCGAACATCATTGTGAATTAAATAAAAGGGTTTTGAAGCATGATAACCTATTGATCGATAAGTGTTTCAATGATTCTTGGATAACTGACAAGTATCACAATAAAGGGAATTGTAATAAACAGTTTTAAATTAGGGAACAAATGTTTTAAATAGAGAAAATTAGGATGTCTTATCTAAGATGCCAAAGTATAATTTGTTCTCGTACAGGTATTAAACTATTACCATTAGTACTTAACCCCTGGACTTGTTTATTGTTGAATAGGGTATCATCAAAATAATAGAGTCCATCAATCATCCTAGCACTGCCAATCATCCTCCCCAATAGTTGGTCCTAAAATTCACAATAGGAATCAAAGAATATGACACGACAATTAGAATCACGTGAGAGTTTACTAATAGACAGCAAATTACAAACAAGTTTAGAAACATGAAGGATATATTTTAGTGCAATTTTCTCTAAGATTTGGACAGAACCCGTTCCTGCAATGAATAAGAGACTTCCAACTGCAATTCTAACATTTTTATTACCTGGAAAAGGGTAATAAGATTGAAAATATTGTGAAGTACTAATCATATGGTCGGATGCACTAGAATCAATAATCCATGGTGCAAGAGTTAAAGCAAAAGAGTATGTAGTAGGGAGATCATATGTTTGGGCCAACGAACCAGTAGGAGGATCGTATGTAGGAATGAATTTCAGCCATTGAAGAAGGTGATCCACCTACTCAGCACTTAGGGAATTAGCCATGGATTAGAATTTTTTAATCAAACCCGTAACTTTAAATAATTAAATCAATCTTAGAGACACAAGCCCAATCAAACATGGTCCGATTAAAAAAAACACCAAAAGTCCAAATCAATAGCCTACAACCACATACCTGGAGGAACCAATAACCTTCAACTGCAATCAAATCCATGTAATGAAATCAAACTCTCACAGGTCACGACAGAGTGACGACGCCTCCAGGATTGCTGGACATCGACCTGTAGAGAGAGAGGAAAGACGGATTCCGAACTAAAATCAAACCCGCTGTAATTCTTGGAAACGTGACCAAGCTGAAATAAAAAACAGCAATTATTTCTTCACGTATAGATTCGGAAATTGGAGGTGCGAAATTGTCAAATCTGAAATGATCTTCAAATTCCAAAAAAGGTCACTAGAATTTGGACTTCACAAGCCCAAATTAATGAAGCCGAAATCACCTTAATGATGCCGACTGATGTAACTGTCGACCAAAGGCAGAGAGAAAATTGAAAAGAAATCGAGGATTTAGCTAAGGATTCGAGAGGTAGGCTCTGATACCATCTTGAATGAGAGTATATTGTAGAAAATAATTATCATTAATTCATCTCATAGGTACATAGAAATATTTATATTTACATTAGAAAAAACAAAGGAAAGAATAAAATAGGAAAGGACGAATAAAGTAAGAAAGAAAAATTAAATGCTAACTTCAAGGAAACTAAATCTCCTAGAATATGCAGATTTGGAAGCTTTCCAACAGTTGTAAAAGCTAGAACAATATCTTTGGATTGTTCACCTGTCCAAAATAAATAGGAGTGCATTGAGTGCGCTTCTTTGAACTTCACTCATATAGGTTTTGTTCCTCTTGCACAAAAATGCACCTGCTTCATCAATGAAAAGCAACAAATTTTTATTTTTCTATATGTATTTATTCTTCCATTGAATGGAGGGCAAATTTTTACTTCAGTTGGAATGGGAACTATACTCTATGGATACATCTACGCTGGGAGAAATATTTATTTTTATATATGTATTTACTAGTTACCCGTGAATGCTGCATATGATGATGCTTTTTCGTTCCAGATCGCAGTTTATGGGAAAAACTTTAATCGCTCTGCGAAAGATGCGTGGGAGTTATTTCAGTCAACTGGTGTTGAAGCACTTATTGCTTATGACTGTTCAGGTGCTGTTCTATTGATGGCAACGCTCTTGGGTGGGCTTATTGCTGGAACTTGTGCAGGAGTTTGGGCGTGGATTAAACATTCCGACCGAGTGATGATGGTGGGATCTACAGCCATGTTGATGGGAATGATCTTGGTACGCTTACAATTGCTCGATTAGTTTCTCTTAACAAATTTAGCATATATTCTCTTTTAAAATTTATCAGTGCTAACCTGGGTTATACGAGTGCAACATCTGCAGTTAAAAACACTGTTGGTCACACAACTCGTAACGAAGTTTCATGTTAATAACTGAACTTTATTTTAATTTAAAGTGATCGGCCAAGTTTGCTTACAGTTTGCTGGCGGCTATTGGCGGTGGCTAGGCTGGGGTTCCATTCCGGGCAGGTTGCTAGAAGAAAGCGGCTGAATTTTTCTTGTTTTATTTTTTTATTTTTTTTGCAGCAACAGATTCTATAATGGTTGCTGTCGGTAAATTTTCAGTTTGTGAGTTGGGAAGGTGGAAGCGGTGGAGGAGAAACTGAATGACTCATTTATAGGCGAAGGCGGCTGGTGATAGGTTTAAATACTGGAAAATAATGCAAACCTAGGGCCAAACCCAATACACAAGTCCATAAAATTAAAATAACCTAAATCCAACTAAAATAATTAAAACTGCTAAAATTAATTAAAGCTGGATGTCCTCATCAGTCCGTGCTTCATAGTTGGGTACATTTGTTCTCTCATTCCAGATGAACGGCTTATTTCTTCTGTCTGCTAATAGATGTCGAGTTCTATTCTCAGGTTGGCTTGGCAACTGTAGTTGTGGAAAGTGCAGTAACATCCATTTACATATGCTATGCCGAAGACCCCTCGTGTTCTCAGCTTGGTCATTCAGTTAAAATCTGTTATTTTCTCTAACAGAATGTGGCATGGAAGACGGCAATCTAACATGCTTCATCCCCGAAGTCTTGCACGTTGGACATTCTGCTAGAGAAAGTAACAAATTTTGACTGATTGATCAAATTGAAATTCACTACTTTGAAACAAAGTAAATTTCAGTCAGTAACATGTAACTTCACTATAAACTGAGTAGCTAACCGTGTTTTTACTCTACATCTGCAATAGGTTTACGGACAAAAAGTATTGATTTCCTGGTTTTTTAGTGCATTACTACTAAAGAAGCAATGGTCTATTTTACATTAGCTTGTTCCGTAGCTAAGAAGCATGGACAGGTACATCACAACACATTTGAGTAACTATTTGTTATAATAGAATAACATGTACTATGTATATGTTACTATTGACAAAGAAAGGAAGATGCATATAGAAGAGTATTGATTGAGTCGTGGCGGTCTCTGAGAAAATTCCCTAATAGGAGTGTCCGTGCTTCATAGTTGGGTACATTTGTTCTCTCATTCCAGATGAACGGCTTATTTCTTCTGTCTGCTAATAGATGTCGTGTTCTATTCTCAGGTTGGCTTGGCAACTGTAGTTGTGGAAAGTGCAGTAACATCCATTTACATATGCTATGCCGAAGACCCCTCTCTAATAAACAGGTGGGATTCAGCCTTTTTTACTCTGATCTCAGAAAAACTACATCAGCGATTGCAACATGGAAGTGCAAGGGCAAGGGCAAGGGAAGTATTAAGTCATAATAGAGATTATCAAATCCAAGAAGCAGGTACTATTTGACTTCCTTTTGCACAAGCAAGCACTGTGCAACTTTTTATTGCATTTTATGGACAGAAATTTAGACTACAATTGATCACACAGTGACTCCTTTTTTCAACTATAATATTTTCATTACATTATAGTTCAGCCTACCGAACAAGTCATACATTTATAACATGTGAAGCAGACAATAAAAATAATACACTAACAAATGCCCCATATAAAATTTCAATTGAATGCTCAAGGATAGTTCGAGGGTCGAATGTTTGTATTGTCAGGATGCTTATCTCTGCACATGTCTGAATAGATCTTACTATCCTCGGCTCATTGTCAACTCGATAGTCAGACTCCTGTAGATTAACTTACATCGATTTCTTTGAGACGTGTATCGTACAAGTTTAATGGGACTGAATCTTCCAAACTTCGTACGGACCATGATATGGATGTTAATTCTTTTGTTTTTTCTCCTTTCCTTCCCTCTGTTTCTGATTATTCGTCGTTGCATTTTAGTGGTTGGTCTGGTATGAGTGTGTTAAGGGAATATAATCCCACATCGGTAAAATACCGAAACAATGACCAATATATAAAAAGGATTGGGACACTCCTCTTAACAAGGTTGACCTTATTAAGATGGACCCCAAGTCTTAACATGGTATCAGAGCCCATTAAGCTCCAACGAGCGATTTGATCCGATATAGTCTCTAAAAATGAGCACACGGATTTCAAGATTGATCTGCTCAAAAGAGCCACATCTTGCGGGGGCATGTTAAGGGAATATAATCCCACATCGGTAAAATACCGAAACAATGACCAATATATAAAAAGGATTGGGACACTCCTCTTAACAAGGTTGACCTTATTAAGATGGACCCCAAGTCTTAACAGAGTGGTTATGGGAAAGAGTCTATTGCAGCATATTTAATTCGTGAATTTCTAATGATTGCCATGTTATGCGATCAGCATAAACCTTTCAAATATATATTATTATGCATTAACGTCTGAAAAAATAATAGGCTGCAGAAATTTACATCTTAATATCTTATTATTTTTTTAATACATTAATTCAAGAATCACTTTTTTTCCTCCAGCTTCTGCGTTTTTCCTGTTTCATTGTTCTTTCTTCCTGCAACCATATTTAACAGAAATTTCATTAATTAATAACACCAGATGAGTAAATGAATTAGAAAAATTAAATAAAAATGCGCATACTTGGTCTATAATTTCTTCTTCTACTAGACTTGACATTCTGTGGTATAAAAACTCCAGTTCCATTCCCTTTTCCATTAGTTCTCCATAAGCTCAATAGCCATGGAGGAGTTGCATAGTTCTCTGTCCAGTTGTAATGAGATCTACACTGTGGCATCAAAAGAGGGCTACTACTTAACCCTTTTCTCCGGGTATCGACCAAGCTCGGAAATCTAACATTAGCATAGAATTCATCATCTTCTTCTGCCGTCAACTGGAAAACTTGCCTTCTATGTTCATCATAGAAAACATCATCTTCATCTTCAAATTCATTATATGAATTTGTAATTTCTTGCACAAGACTACAATGCATATCCATCAAGGGAGAAATTGATTTCAATGTGTTTGGTTTTTCACATGATTATGATATTTATAGTTAAATTAAGTAGGATTTTGGTCAAAGTTTGAGGCAAGTGGAAAACAGTTTTGTAATGGATCTCCACTTGGCTTCAAATGCAAACAAATATACCAAGTTTTGTTTTATTTTTATACGTTTCCAAATTAAATTTATTATTTCTTATGTCATGCTTATGTACAAATAATGTGTCCCACTATAAATTAAGGATAGGATGTAATCACGTTGGAACTACTTTTAATTGTATTAATGATCTCAGTATTTATTAGTATTGCACTTATTTCTCAACCTTCTTTTTGTCTCAATGTTATTATTAATTTTTTATTAATTAGGACATATGGTTCTATGAATGACGATTTATGTCTAAATATTGGATTAGTGTGCTTCAGAAAATGAGAGACAAATCATTTTTTGCATTTTTGTATTTGTTATTATTATTATTATTATTTGGTATATTTAACAATATAAAGGGGAAATAAGTCTTTTTATGCCTCCCACGGACTTTTCGAATGGAACCGTCATCAATGACAATATGTGCTAATTATGAATGGTTAAATATAAGAGTGAAATGGAAAAATTAAAAAGTGGTAGAAAGAAAGAAAATTACTGTAAGGCTATGTTTGATAAGCCAAAATTTTTCTTAGAAAATGGAAAATCAATTCTAACTTTCACTTTTGCATTGTTTGATAGCATTTTTTTTACTAAAAATTTATTTTCCACTTTTTTTGCCACCTAAGCTGAAATTCACATTTTCCTTAAATTGGAGATTCCAATTCCGGTCACTGTACCAATTTTATTTATTTATTTATTTATTTTTGACAATGAAAACAAATTCTAAGAATTATTGTAAAAAAAATATTTCACTTTAATTGACAATTTTCATGTAAAAAAAGTCAAACGAATACGAAAAGATAGATGATTTTCTATGATTTTTTTTTTGTGGCAATGGAAACAAGTTTCATACCCAATATTAGTAAATTCCATTCCTTTAATTGACAATTTTCATATAAAACAAAGTCAAACGAATATAAAAAAACATTTTTATTTTAACATTTTTCACGTAGAAAATTATACCAATCAAATACAATAATTTGCAATTCTCAGAAAAATAATTTCTAGACAATTAAATTCCCTAAAATTCATTTTCTTTTTACTCAAATTCCATTTTCGTAATCAAACGGACCCTCAATTCAATTTTCAAAATAAGACCAGTCACTCAAAATAATTAAACTGACTAAATATTCTGTATCAAGCATCGAATTTTATAAATTTTGTACCTTTTTTTTTTTTTATTTTTTATGGGTCTCAAGTTTCCATTACGGTCAATTAGTTGACTAATTGCTTGGCCGATTAGGGCAAAAAAGATTATGATTCCTTTAAGTGACATTTGGAAAATATTGATGCTAAATAATCAGTGGTTTGACAACTATTTTGGATGTTATCAATAATCCCAAATAACTATACTTACTGAAGAAATTGCGTCATTCACAAATTCCTACCAATCGATTGAATCTTAATCAATTAAAAGAAGGATTTAAAAAAATAAATAAATAAATAAAAGAACTATTTCTACAACTACAAAAAAGGAAATTTCTAGATCTAGCTAGAATTCTTATTTTTATTCTTTCATTTTCTTGTATAATGACATGTTCACATCAACCTTGACTGGATTGAAAAGCAAATGAAATACTCTTCGTATTGTTAAGACCTCTTGGTTTCTAAACACATGCAACGTTATTAGAAGTTAGGAGTTCAATAATATCCGAACTCATTTTGGAAGAGGCGAGCCTCCAAGGGAGAAGCCATATGCATGCTCAAGTGACCTCGTGTTCGCCGTGATCTTAGTTGTAGTCAGTGGCGAATCCAGGAGTTTGAGTCAGCACGGGCGGCCGTTGACCATCTACCGTTGGCTGCAATAAAATATTAAAAGTCCTTTTGGTTTCCATTTTTTTTTTGCAAAAAATGCATTTTGGAAGGTGATTTGATGGAGAACGTCCGAACGCGTGACTAAAAATAAAGAAAATTTTTGAATTTATGTGTAATATTATTTTATTGAAAAATGTATGGATGAAAAGAAGAAAGAAAAATGTAATTTAAAAAAAAAAAAGAATCGAACAAGGCCTAAAGTGTAAATATAACAATTATTTTGTTCAAAATGAATATATACAATTCTATTATAATAATAAATAGAACTCATCAAATAATATTGTTGCCAAGTTTTGTATAATTCAAAGAAAAAGTGTGAATTCGAATATTTAAAATTATTCGCATTAAAACAATCAAAACCTAACAAATATTATTTTGTTAAATCTAGTAACACAATTCAAAATGTACCATAATGGTTAAGTTTACCACAACTCTTACTTGATATCATAGGTTTAAATCCTCATTGTCCCACCCTCATTGAATTTTGGTAAAGATTATAGAGTAAAAATAATGCATAACAAATTTATTGACAAAGATTCGAACCTAAGACTTGAAATATATCAAGGCTAGCTCTCACCAAGTAAGCTACAGAGAAGTTTGAAAATAAAATTAATTACCAACAATATAAGGTAAAAATTTTATATATTACTAACAAAAAAATTATATGCCGGTGGATCCAGTTAGGGCGGCCGCTCTAGCTAGCTGCCCTCTGGATCCGCCACTAGTTGCAGTGGAACACTTAACCCTCTTTATAGATCATGGAAATGCATTTTTGGGGCATGTAGACAAACAGGAATTGTGAGGTCTCTAATAAGAGTGCCGTATTGATACAGCATGTCCTATGCTATAAGGGAGTTCCATTCGACGAGTTGGACTACTTACCCTAACAAAAAAAGGGCTTCGGGCATGGATTTCTGTCCTTGAAACCATGATATTGATTCCTACTACTTTTTACCAGTAGAATATTAGCAACTACAAATTCGTTATTAATTTGAGGGTCACTAATGGTGACCAAGCAGATCGTGTCGTAGGTAAAAAGTTTTTACCAATGAATTTTTCATTGGTAAAGAGTGAACCTTTAGCTACAGAATTTTTGTTGATAAAAATCTTAACCATTACCAATGGACTTTCTGTTAGTAAATGTTTACTATTACAACTAGTAAAAATCAGTGTTATAAATAGCAGCATAGGTGCGAGGCATGGCAAAAATAAATAAATAAATAAATAAATAAATTATTATTATTATTATTATTATTATTATTATTATTTATTGAATAATTATAAACTTCAAAGTTTTAGTCAACTAAATTGAAGGGTCCAAAAAGTTGTTTAACCACTTATTGGACAACAAATTTATAGAGAGCAACTTCAAAGGCTTTGTTGTGAACTTCCGATATGGTATAAGAATTCATTTGATTGAATTGTAGTATATTGTACGTTTAGTTTGACTGTAGTGTATTATACTATTGTGTAAACGATTATTTATATTTTATTACACTTCAGTTATGTATATTTAATAGGTGAATGATTGATTTTTTTTCTTTTAAATTATTAGAATTGATTAATATCATCAACATATTTTTCGTAGGTAATATGAATTAATCTTCATCTAAGGAATTTTCGTTGGTGATGAGGCTGATTTTATTTATTTATTTTTTGGAAAAAATTAATTACCCTTCATGTAAGGATATGCCATAGGAGAATGTTTAATTTTTTTAATTATTAAAATTGATTAATATTAGCAACTGCAAATTCCGTTGGTAATATGAACTATTCTTCACCCACGAAAAATTCGTAGATGAAAGGTT